AGTAGAGTATCCTTTATCCAGAACCTTTAGTCCAGCTGTAAGTATTTGAAATCTGAAGAACATAGCTTCAACAGATTCAGAGTCTTCCATCTTGAAGGCTTCATACTTCTGGATTAGAGCCAGAGCCTTTGTTTCCTTGACTTGAGAGTTTCCCTCATGAGTCATCTTTAAGGACTCAAACATGTCAAATGCAGTTTCCCTATTTGTAATTTTTTTCATACTCAGTGTGAGATATTGCATTTAACAATATTGTTCTGGCCTTGTGGTGATTTCTAAATTCCTTCTTCTGAGCATCTGTCATAGATTTTCTGTCTACTTTCTTGCCATTCCCATCAGTGGGATGAACATATCCATCTATGACCAGATCCCATAAATCAGCATTATATCCAAGGAAAAAACTTTCAATCCTGTCTTTCCAATAATCAAATTTCTCCCCATCAAACATAGGGGGTTTGGTGCTGATTCTGTCCCTTTCTTCATATTTGTTGTTAGTGTTAGACATTGTATTATCAGCCATAGTAACAACCAAATATATATCAAAGTTTTTTTTCTCACTGGATCTTTACTGTCACTGTGAAGTGGTAGCACACACAGAACCGGAGCTCTGATGCCAACTGAAGGTGAGAAAATACTTAGAAGGGGGGTTGAATAAGTATGAAGATAAAAACTTAGAAATAAAAACTCAAGTATTTTTATCCTGGTTTGTTGAACTCAACTACTCCAGTCCACCCTTCCTAGAGTGATTTGCCTTTCTCAAACAAGGACTTAATCCACTATTTAATCAACTGATTACAATAGTTAGCACTAAGAACAACTGTTCAAAGTCTTCTCAAGAACTACTGATCCTAACTGGATCTTCTTAAGGTTTTCTTACAATCAAATGTAATAATAAATACAAGTGTTTAAATTGCTTCTAATAAAGCTTTATCACAACTGTGATTTTTCACTTAAATTTAAGAACAAAGAAATTAATTCTAGAAAGAATGTGAATAGTATGAGAGCTTTGAATATTGATTTCTTTTTGATAAAACGTCCACTAAAGAAGATGGGTGAAGACTTGCTTTTATAGGCAGTTTGTTCCAAGAGGTCTTCATGTTGAGAAGAGTGTCCAAAAGGTATGAGCCTTTTTTTGTCTTCACATCAAGTGACCTTTCCTAGAAGAAGAAAGCGCACAGAAATCCTTTTTGTCTGTGTTCTTGTGTCTAGCATAAATAAGGAAAGAGTCGTTTGGATTATTCCAACGGATATAATCTTTAAATTATTCTTCTTCAATTTTCAGCAAGATTCATCAGAGTCTAATTGATCAGAGCCTTCTGATGTTGATCAGAGTTTTGCTGAATCAGAGTCTTTACAGCTTGGTGTGCTTTTAGCGTGAATAAGTTCAGAGCATATTTGAGTCAGATCCTCAGTACTGGCAGCTTTAGTACTTTCAGAATCTTCTGTAGTAACTATGCTTGAAAAACTCTTCATACAGAATTCATCTTTGGTTCAGATGCTTCTGACTTGCTTCAGATTCTTCTGGAGCTTCTGCTTCAGATCCTTCTGGAGGCTACGCTCAGGATCTTTTGTTGGCAGTATTCAGAATCTTCTAATGGATGCATCTGGTGCTTCAGAGTCTAGCATATTTCTTATGTTCAGTTCTAATTTTCTTCTGGAGAGATAATTACTTTACTATCTGCAGTAAAAACTCTTAAGCAAATTTTAGAGTATATAATTCTTAATTACAAAATTTCATAATAGTTATCATCAAAACATAGAGATATTATTAAGAACCAATCTGTGTTTTAACACCAATGAGTCGGTACCGCATGCTTGGTGTTGAGTTGCATATTTGCATTATAATATGTTATATTGTAATTTGAACAGTAGGTTCGATGATTGGTGTTGTGGGGTAAATATTGGTGTGTTTTACTACATTATTTGCATGTATTAAATTACCAATATATTTTAATCATGTTTTCTCACCCCTTTGTTGTTGTTGTGGTCTGTGCTTCTCCGGAAGTACAGATAATCCAGGTACTTAGCTAACTTGGATTATGGTGTGCCAGTCGAGTCTAGGATGCTCTGATACGTAGCACGAGACTTGGGTGTTTTTAGTTGCCTTCTGTTGAACTTGTATTTTATTTCCTGTGAACGTATCAAAAACTTTGTTGGATTTTACTATTTTGTTATTTTCCGCTGTATTTTGGAGAAAACCTTTTTATAAGGAAATGTTGGTTTTGCTATGTGATATCCCACTTGGGAAGAAATACTCTGATGTATATTTATAATGTTTATTATTTTAATTGTTTTGGGAAGTGGGGTGTTACACGCGCATCCTCTTGCTGGGAGAGGGGCTAATGCCACTCGACTGGTTGGAGAGGGGTGAAGTTAGAGTCATGGGAATGGGCTTTTTCAGCTGATGCGCTAACGCACACTTCCGTTTTCCCTTTACTAGTAGGGGGTTCCGTGGTTCCTATGTCGTCGCGTTTCCCGGTCCTTTTCTTTTAGTGCTTCGACCCGAAGCGGTAGCTTCTAGCTAGTTCAGTGGATAAGATGGTTGCACTCCAGCTCACTCAAGAATGGGACGGCAGTGGTTCGCCGACAAGCTCGTTCTGATCTTGGACGCAGTACATTGGAATCCTGAAGCACCACCACAAACGCTACCGCGGGTTCGCCTGCGGTGCGGTAAGGCACCACCCTGTTTGCCAGCAACCAACTCCGGCGTTTCAGCTTAGTTATCCTCATCAAGCCACTTACTTGATGCCTAGCTTGCCAACTGGTAGACGATTCCTTTTCCCCCATATCAATGAAGAAGGGAGAAGTCTGTTGATTCTTCCGAAGAACCAGAAACAAAGCGCTATGCCGGGCGGGGGGACGGGAAAAGAAATGGCTCCGAAGAAAGAAATGGAGATTCTTAATGCTTCTCCACGCCCAACGAGATGCGCCAACCTCGGGATGCTTGACTCCTAACCCCACTAGGTTCCCAGACGGAGCTTAACCTGACTAGGGCCCATAACTAAAAGGTACAACGGCCCGAGCGACTTTCTCTGATAGGTAAGCTTGGTATTTATTCTCCTCTTCATCTCTTTTTGCCGTTTATTCTTCTCCATGTTATAGAACTCCCTCGGAGGAGCATTAGACCTAAGCCTATGATCCTTAATCTCTCCATGTGATTTTTGAATTTGATATGATGAAGTTAGGGTTCATGATATGTTTGCTCTGATTAGTCTGATTGATGAGGAATTGAATGAAATAGACACTAGATTTAGATTGAGGGAGGCATAACGCTTGGAGTGATGTAAGTTTAGTTTGGTTTCTCCCTCCACCGCCGCCGGAGGCGATTTTCGTTGCGGCAAAGATGGTATTCTCCAGTGAGGTAAAATATTAGGGAGAGGGAGAGCTTATAACCTCACGTGTTTTACTTTCTGATTGTGAACAAATGGAACCTCTTTATTGTTGTTCCTTCGACACGTTGGGCTTCTCAACCCACTCCAGATTTGCTATCACACACTAAAATCAGTTATGCGCCTCCTGGAATTGTGGATTGAGGATACTGGGCTTGGAATCAGGCCATAGCGCCTGATTACTAGCATATTTCATGTTATTACTATTGCACCCCTAGTCTTGGATTAATTTTGGTTGAAATTTTTTGTTGATTTTGATTAGCTTTTTGTTAATCTTAATTTTGATATTCATTTTGATTTTAATTTGAATCTGTTTTTGATTAGATCTTGATTTTGATTTTGTTTAAAATTTTGATCTTGATGTTAATTGAATTTGAATATTAATTTTGATGTTAGTTTTTGAATAATCTTGATATTAATTTTGACTAATGCTCTTATCAATGTCTTGTGGATTTTTGATAGATTTTCTTGATGATTGTTGATTAATTTTGATATGAGTGTTTGGTGATGATGTTTGTTCTTGCTTAATTGCTTGTGTGATTTCCATGTTTGGTTAGGATTTTTTTAATTCAATTTAACCAAAAGGTTAAATTGAATTAAGATAGATTTTAGGACTTTAATCCAAGCATGAAAATATGATTAGAATTTTTCCTTGTATCTCAATCTTAGGTCCACTTTGCATAACAACAAGTAGGATCAAGTTTTTCTTTAGACTTTGTTTCTTTTTGCAATGCATTCTTTTCTTTTAAAAGACTAAAAAAAATTTTTAATCAAATTCAAAAGTACTTAATAAATACGATACATATAAATACGTCATGAGTCTTAAGTACATGAAAAAAGATGAACGAAAATCCTTCTCACCTCTTTTTAGAGTATTTTGTTTGTAAGACGCTTGACTTATTTATACAAAACATTCGCTCTTATTGTTATAGATTTTAATATAACACATATCTAAAATATTTTCAAAACTAAAAGAAAATATACTTTTAATTTCTCTCTCTCTTTCAAAATGCTATAAGATTGATTCAAAATGTCTCCAACAGTCGTTACTTGTATTTGGTGTGAATGAACGAGAAAAACAATGTTAAAATTTACTAGCCTCTGGTATTAAATCATGAAGGAAATATAATGGTATAACAAAAATAATGTCGGTTTTTGTCCCCCATGTTTCCATGTATTTATTTTTATTTTTTAATGTTTAATCAAGCCCACACCATAAATTTAATGTTCCTTCACAACCAACACTCCATGAAAGATGCAAAATCCCTATTTCCCTTAAAATGGAGGGCCCCTGGAAAATTAAAACCAACATAATAAACTTGCTTCACCAAATTTCGTACACAATGCTTTGTATATGTGATGACATCACATACATACATCAAATTCTATGATCTTATAATAAAAGTCAACTTTTATGATCTCGTTCCCCCACCATTCCACAAGAACCAAAGAGAAAGTAACAACAACATAGTAATACTAATATAACAAAATCAAAAATTATTAATATATCAGAAAATGAAGCAACTTTTTTTCTAGACCAAATTATTACAACAAAATCTGTACAAAAGAAAAACTCTAACTCCTTTATCATCATCATCATCATCCTTCATTTCCTTATTGGTGATGTGAACACGTGCACTTTGCTCTATTTTGTGAAAGAGTCTATATATTTATAGAAAGAAAAAAAATAAATGAATAACTCAATGTGCAATGAAGTATGAATATTTATGGCATAAACTTGAGATTGAGATTGAGATTGGTCAATTGTTTGAACATACCTCAACTTGTTTTTGTAGGTCTTTAATGTACTCAACAGCTAAGTCCAACATATCTGATGTGTTTGTTTGCTGCAAATAGAGAGAAACAATGTTTTGTTTGTTACATAGGTTAGTAAATGTGCCACAAAATCAAAAACATTGTTACCTTATCCATGTTCGGCACCAGATCTTGTAGTTTCCTCATTCGCTCGCTAATTTTAGTTCTCCTGACCTGAAAGTATGTCGCATAAAGGCCTGGAAAGGGGTTTCGTGCGCACACTAAATGTGTCGCGCAGTTGGAATTATTTATAGCATTATAGTAGAATAATAAATTTATACCCTTTCTGCAATGCTTCTCGGGTGAGTGGCGCAGCCGCGCTTGGCGCGGATTTTGCATGGAACAGAATCTGACAACTGTAAAAACTTCTCAATGGCTGCCAATTCTGCCGTGGTATTAGGCATACTCGTCTGATGAGCCAAAGGAGTGGCAGGAGTCTGGCCTCCTGTTTCATTCTGATCAATGCAACAAAAAATAGGACAGTTTATTCGACTTCGGCTACACGTCAGTGCTAATGCGTCACTATAGCTTCTATTAAACTACAACTTTAAAACTGTGATGTTAAAACCAAATTTCAATAGTACAATTCTACTACTACCTTAGTATCAGCCGCATTTAAACCGGAAGAAAATGGTTTTACATCGTCATCATCTCTGTATCTTTTTAGACCGGTAATGTTGTCGGATATCATTGCAGTATCCTCCCATGTAGAACCTAAAGGGAAACCCGGGATAAAATCATTACCCCGAGTTTCAGCAAAACCCTCGGATTCTAGATTATTTTGTGGATTGCTACTATTCCCGATTTCACCTCCTAACACCGACGAGTAGTTCGGAGCCCTCACATTCTTTAACAGCACCGCAGAAGAAGAGAAATTTCCTTCTTTGCTAGTGCTGTTAGCAGCTCCAATCGTTCCTATGCCTCTCATAACAGCAAAACCTGCCAATCAAGCTAGCTAGCATTATTATCACAACAACATAATCGTAATGCGAAGAAAACGAAAAGGGTTTGAAGATTTACCAGTTTCAATGTTAATGTTTGAAAACAATCCAGCAGGCGAACTACCATGTCTAATAAGATTAGAACAGCTTCCTCTACCAGTCTTCATTTGATTTGGCAAAGGTGGTCTTCCAGAACTTTGGTAAAATTTCTGAGGACCAGAGGAACCATAATTATTCATATTACTTTGTTGTCGTTGAAGCTGTTGAACATCCACAGTTTCATTATTCATTGAATTCATCAAAGTTTGAGATTGTTGCTCAATCTCTTCCTTAACTATAGGAAGCTGTTGTTGAACAGTTAGTAGATTCTGAGTCAGTGAATCATCATCTCCAGCAGCTACAGCAACAGCAACAGAAGCACTTTCAGCATCACCACCGCCACTACCACTACCACTACCACTAAGACTATTCATAAACCGAGCAAAAACTCGTTCTGTTTCAGGACTTGAAGGTCGGTTAAAAAGATGCTCATAGAACTCTTTATCAATAATATTCGAAAAATATGAACTTGGTGCAGATTTAAATCGAGTTAACCCAGAATTCATTTGTGGCTGGTGATGATGATTTTGATGATCTAGAAACATAGTTGGATGCTGCTGAAGATCTGACTCCATTTTTTGCTTCTTCTATAAAAAATTCCTGTAAAAAAATTTTGATTTTTTTTCAAATATTGAACACAAAAACCTCTAAGATCTAATAAAAACTCATAAAAAAGAAAACCCAGAAAGGGAAATTGTTTATTTCACATGAAAATCAACTGGGTTATGCAGCTTCATAAACTCTAGAAGAGATGAAAGGGAGGTGTGAAAAGTATAAAAAAAAACGACAAAAAAAGTATCAAAATAAACGGCACAGCTTCATTGTGACAAGACAGAAAGAAAAAAAACAACATATGAATAATACTATGAGCTTAAAAACAACAAAAACAACAACAAAAACTACCTGTTTGTCTCTGAGCACCGAACTGAAAAAATTTCTATGTTGCGTGTAGTGGTGAGAGTGGTGATGAAAAAATGAAGAAACCTGAATAGGAAGGTTCAAGAGAGAAGATAATAGTATAAAATAGCATTGGATTTTGTTGCTGTGGAGGTGCAGCCAATGAGGAGTGAACAGAGTGATAATTTCCAGCTTTCAGATTTGTTACATGTTTTCAGAGGATGTTTTTACTAGAATGCCCTTGTGTGAGTGTAACGTGGCAGAGGAAAAGGTTGTGAAGAGAGAAAGAAAGAACAGAGGTTAAAGCTATATTTAGAAGTAAAGAGGTTTGGTTTTGATAAATTGGGAAGGATACGAGGTGAAATTACTTTATTGCCTCACTCTTTTTACACAAATAACTGCTGCATTCAGAGATTCACAAGTTGAGTGTTTTTTGATAATGAATGCACTTATGGTAAAGACTTCAACTAATGAGTTTTAAATCTACACACAAGTGATTGTAGTGACTTCACTCTATAGTTCAAACACATTGAAGAAAAAGTATAATTTTCTTTATGATTGTGAAGTGATTTATAGTAGATAATTACTTTGGCCTAAACAATTTCTCATTTTGGACAGAAATGGTATAGTAGTACAATTGGGTTTAATATGTTTAAGTATAATTGGATTTAATATGTTTAAAGTATAATTGGATTTAATATCTTTAAGTTTTATAAGATATTTTTCAAAATTGTGATTTTAATTTTTTTTAATTATTGATTTATAAGTATTAACAATTTGTTTAGACTAATACATTATTATGAAGAAAAAGAAATTTAAACGGTGTTGCTAGTTATTGAACTCTAAACTAACAATCCTCACTTATCTATCTCAACAAGTGTGTATTAGTTGAACTATCTCATTTCTCCAGTGATTTTTAAATTTGAATTTTCAATGAATTTATAATACTATTTTTTAGTTTTTAAATCATTTATAATACTATTTGAATTTTTATTATAAATTGAAAATGAATATTTTATAAAAAATTTGGTTCGACCAAAATTCTCAAAGTTGGGTTGGGTATGTGATGACTGAGTTGAGAGAAACTCTTTGATGACTGGTTAAATGACTCCTAATTTGAATAGACGTAGGAAGAGAAAGTGTGCAGGTGGTACCTGCAAAAGACATTACGACACCCAAGACAGTGATCGATTTAGACGAGGAATGTTTTTAGGTTTTCATGAGCGCGTACTTGGTTTGACGTTTGTATTCTCTTTTTATAAGAATTCTTCAATGGGTTTTCATCCTCCGGTGTCTATCTTGAATGTTCATATTTCCAAGTGGAAAGATATAATCTATCTTGTGATCTAACGGTATACATCCTTCTGTGTTGGGATCCGATGCTTCATTAGAGCAAGTTTACTCCTGCTCTCTGGCTCTATAATGTTCCTTGTGATGACATACATATGATGTCTTGGTGGTGACATCATCTTTATTATAAGTAAGTGTTTCTTTGTGTTTTATGAAGATTTCTCTTTATGAGGTCAGGACTAGTATGGGATTTAGCCATGATCCATATCATTGGGCGTGGAGTGTTAGACCGATCACTACAACAAATAACATTTTTTATGAAGAAGCTAACACCTCGAACAATAAAAAAAAATAAGGGTATAGGTATTGGGAGTATCATGTTTCATCTTTTTTATAAATAAACAATCATTTACCTCGTTTTTAAAGTAAAACAGTGGAATAGATCTATAAGAGAGCTCGCTTCGACACCCAATTATTGTATTTTATATATTTTTTTAAATTGTTTAGTTAATATTGAAGGTGAGAAAAACACTTAGAAGGGGGGTTGAATAAGGGTTTTGAAATACATATGGCAATAAAAACAACACATTATTTTTATCCTAGTTCGTTGAACTCAACTAATCTAGTCCACCCTACCCAGGTGATTTGTCTTTCTCAACAAGGACTTAATCCACTATATTCAAACAGATTACAGTGTCAACCACTAAGAACAACTGTCTTAGTCTTCTCAAGAAATCCTGACCACAACTTGGTCTTCTTAAGGAACCTTTTACAAATAAATGTAAACTAACAAGTGTTTATGATGCTTCTAAAAAGCTATATCACAACTGTGATTTATACACTTAGATTAAGAACGAATAAAAACTATTCAGCTTATGAAATAAATTGTATGAGAGTTTGAGAGTAGTTTTCAATTTGATTTCTCAATTGATTCGTCTAAGATAAATCGTCAACTTTGAAATGTTGTTGAAGATATCCTTTTATAGAGCAGAAAGTCCAATGCTTGAAGACTGTGCGTAGCAGAATAGATGTAGCCTTTTTGTCTTCTATTGACTTTAGCTTTCCCAGAAGAGGAATGTTCAGACAAATCCCTTTTGTCTGATTTCCTGTGCCATACATGAATAAGGAAAGAGTCGTTTGGAATATGCCAACGGATATATCTTTGAATAATATTTTCTTCAACAAGCTTCTGTCTCAAAGTTATCAACATCAGAGTCTTGATGTTATTAGAGTTTTGCAGCCAATGTGCTTCAGCGTGACTATCAATCAGAGTAGAGTTTGAATAACAAAGCTTCTGTACTTGCAGCGTAAAGTACTTCAGAGTCTTCTTGAAACAATGCTTGAAACGCTTCATACAAATTCTTCAACTACGCTTCAGAGTCTTCTGCAGCTTCTGCTTCAGAGTCTCTTCTGGCAGCGCTCAGAGTCTTCTAATGACTTGCTTCTGATGCTTCAGAGCTTTGCGTAGAGTGATGTTCAGATTCATTTTTTGCTTCCATAAGAGTATTTAATTTAATATCTGAAACAAAAACACTTGAACAAAATTAGAGTATATATTTTCTTAATACAAATTTTCATTAGAGTTATCATCAAAATATAGAGATATATTAAACACTAATTTGTATTCTAACAATCTCCCTCTTTTTGATGATGACAAAAACATAGGAAATTTTATTCAATAAAAAGGATAAATATATAACTCCACCTGAGATAAAGAATCCCCCTAAAATGAATACTCTAATAGAAGAAAATACTTCCCTTTTTGCATGAGTATACTTTTCAGATTAAGAGCCTGGTTAGAATCCTGGTTAGAATATACTTTCCAGAATCAGATCTTGATTTACTTTCCAGAATCAGAGCCTGGTTTACTTTTAGAATCAGAGCCTGGTAATCAGAACCTGGTTTAAATTAAGTTCTAGTTTGGGGATTCTCAGGGTAACTTCAATGAACTTTGTCAGATGATACGTTAGTTCTGAAAGACTAAAATTCAATGTTAGTTATAATTTATTATGTGTGAATTCCATTTTAGTAACTATTTATTTTTAAACAATCAGAATTTCTTTTTCTCCCCCTTTTTGTCATAATCAAAAAGAAAAAAAAATTTGAAGACAGAAAAGAAGAACGGAGAAAAAATAACAAGATAAAACAAGTAGAAACAGAAATCAAACATAGTCATTGATCAAACACAATATTCAGAGGATAACAAAACAACAAAATAACATCAACAACAAAAACAACAAACAAGTGCACAAACATAACAGAAAAGAAACTAAGGTTGGCGAGAGGCTATCATCTTCAGAAGGTCTGTGATCTGAGAAGTAGATTCCTCTTGTCTAGACATCCATGTCTTAATCTCATATGTGGTTTGTTATTGCTTGACCATCCATGTTCTGATCTCTTTGTTGCTGGCTTCTAGTAGAGAAAACTTTTCTTCTAAATCTGGTCTTTCTGTCTTGATTTTAGAAGAAGCAGAAGCAGATGCAGATGCAGGAGCTGGAGCACTATCAATGACCATAGCAGATGCAGATGAAGGTGAGATAATACTTAGAAGGGGGGTTGAATAAGTATGAAAGATTAAGACTTAAAAAATAATCACACAATTATTTTTTATCCTGGTTCGTTTAAAACAACTATTCCAGTCCACCCTTCCTAGAGTGATTTGCCTTTCTCAACAAGGACTTAATCCACTATTTAATCAAACAGATTACAATAGTAACACCTAAGAACAACTGTTCTTAGTCTTCTCAAGAGCTACTAATTCCAACTGAATCCTCTTAAGGAAAACCTTTACAATCAATGTAAATCAAATACAAGAGTATTAATGCTTCTATAAAGCTTTTATCACAACAGTGATTTTTCTCTTAAATTTAAGTACAAGAAATTCTAAGAAGAATATGAAAGAATGAGAGCTTTGAATAATATGATTTCTTTTCAGCAAATTGTATAACTGGAGAATTTGGTGGAGTCTTTCTTTTATAGGCAGCTGATCCAAGGATGCTGAGCGTTGAGAAGAGAGTCCCAAAAAGGTCTGAGCCTTTTTGTCTTCACATCAAGTGACCTTTCCTAGAAGTAGATAGCACAGAAAAATCCTTTTTGTCTGTGTTCTTGTATCTAGCACAAATGAGGAAAGAGATGTTTGATTTACTCCAACGGATATAATCTTTGAATATTTCTTCTTCAGTTTTCAACAAGTTCTTTAGAATCTGACTGAATCAGAGTCTTCTAATGATTTTCAGAACTTTGCTGTATCAGAGTCTTCTGCAGCATGTGTGCTTTCAGCGTGTTGATCATCAGAGCATATTTGACACAGAACTTCAGTACTTGGCAGCGTTAGTACTTTCAGAAACTTCTGTAGAATTATGCTTTGAGAAACTCTTCATACAATATT